GTAAATTGGATGAGCATAAGAGTAAAACGAGGTTGATGCTTCATTACATAGGGGTTGGAATACATGATGCATATCCGTAAAACACGCCGTCCAGTAGTAAAGTTTGCCCTGACTATTTCATGTCATCATCACAAAACGATTGACGTGGAACCGTTTGGGATGTTTGGTTTACTTATAAAAGTGTATTTGTCGTGCCAACTTAACACCGATAGGAAATCATGCACAGGGCAATGACAAAGCTGTTGTGCACACTTCCTATAAGGTTTGACAGTGATGAGAAGCACAATAACTCCCCATAAACCNCATAAACCAATACACTTTCATTGGAATGATAATAATATTAAAATAAAGTTACCTCAGTTCTCAGGTGATATTCACATGCAGTATTCTCCCAAACATCAGTCAGTCAGTTGCATTCAGATTGATTCGTTTTTGACGGTCACTATTAATGTGTTTCGATTAGTTTCATTTGTTTGTGGCATCGAAAATAAAGTGTAAAGAGATGAGGCTTATTGTTTAATTTTTCAAAGTGGTTTATCGTTCCTCGCTATCGAGAAGTATTCGTTTTCATATTTGATATATATGTTGACACCTCAATATCATGAATATCAACTTGGGGTGCTAGCCCATCACACACACACATATCTATATATATGTCTTATTACTCGCTGCTACCAATAAGCATGCAAAGATTAATCTGACCTGGCAGCTTTCATATCTTATCATTTAAGTGATAACCGCTCCCCTCGTCACTGGGTTTCTCATCATCAGACGCACAAAGAGGGCGTCGGCTTGACAAACCCTCATGGTCAGGTTCGAGTCCCAATGGATAGCTTTGGTGATCCCTAACAAATTGACAAGATAACAAGTAGACAGATTTTTACAATTATGGATCCAGTATTCCAGTTTTAAAGCGATTTAAACGGAAGCCCGAAGTCCTTCAAACATATATGTTTCAATGTCAGTGGGTTGATTTTGAATTTGGGGGATATCTCGACTTCCTTTAAATTGAAAACCATTTTCTCATAGCTCCGCTAAGCACTTCGTAATTTTGGTCTTTCATTCCGAGACGGCGAGTATAATCGGTGCCAATCTGTGTGACTCGTCAGGAATTGGCGGACTACAATTGGCCACTTTGGCTTCAAACAAACGGAGGTTTGGCACATCTTTGCGGTCCGCAACCCTTGGTTAGCTACTTTATCAATCGGCACATAAGAACTCATGCACACACCCATGTGTGAAAATACACACCCACACAGACGAGGGCACGCACGTGGGCAGAGCAGCGACCGCAGTCTGCCTTAGAAGTGGTCGACTATCCCGACGGTAGTGATTCTCGCCTCTACATGCTACTGGGTAATGGCGAACGCACATCCACGTTGGCCGGCACATATGCTTTCCGCTTCATGGCCTACCAATTGCCATTCGACAATCCCCGTCACAGACGCAAACAAACGCACAAACAAGCGCACATCTGGACCAGACTGGTTGTCTGTACTTGCGTACGTGCGTGCGTGTGTGTATGGCACACATGTACGCATAAACAAAGCAGACCCGACCGGATCGATCGGGAACGTGGGGAAAATCTGCAGACATCGCGATAGCCATAAGCAGCATCAGATCGCGTCCGATTGCCTGACCGAAGATAATCTCGACAATGACGACGAAGCTTCTTGTACTGTTCACTGTTATCTGCTTTGCTGGACTCACACACGGCTGGTACAATTCCGTGTTCAATGCGCCTCGAAAACAGCCTCAAAGATCGTACTACGAATCCCAGAATTATCAAACACATGAACAGAAATCGTTCAGTCCGGCCTATCAACAGCCCGCTGTGTTGGAGGCATGCGGCAAATGTGATCAGAGCAAATGTGCCAGTAATCTGAACTGTCCCGTCGGTCTGGTACGAGATCGTTGCGGTTGTTGTCTCGTGTGTGGCCTCGAGGAATCCCATTTATGCAACTTGGAAAGTGAGGTTTCCGCCTATATGAAACAGCATGTGGGAAAGCCGTGGTACGGGAGGTGTGGACAAAATTTAGAATGTCGCAAACGAGATGATGTGGATTTGCGGCAGGTCGGTGGATCGCAAAGTATCTGCTACTGTCTCGAGCCCGGTCTCGTTTGTGGGTCGGACGGGAAGACCTATTCACCCTGTCAGTTGCGAGCGCAGGTAGCGGCAACCAGTGGTAAGGTGAAAAAGATCGGTGACGGGCCATGCAAACAAGGTAAGTTGCACAATATCACTGGGAATGATGAGGGTATTAGATATACGCCTTTCTTTGGTATCATCTGCTGTTCAGCGGAAAAATTAAGACATTCTCAAGGTAAACTATTTTCACCCAAATAATCATTTGCACATCTTTTTTCTACTCGGGTTTTCATGGACACAACCGAGGGATTTCATTATTCAGAATGAAAATATCATGTAGGTCAAACCGCTGGTGGAAATTTCAATGGTATTAACAAACGAATTTGATAAACATTGGTAATATGTTACAAACTATTACTGACGAGTGAATCTAAGCTTAAGTGAAAACTTCAAACTAGTCTGACAGGTTTACCTGGAGTGTTCTACCAAAAAAGATAACACACACGCTCCTGTGCTGCAAATTTGGCATTCATAACCTGAATGTGTATAAGTGACGACTTTTAATGATATTAAACCTCAGATCCGTTGTTTTCTGGGTTTATGGTCCACCAAATAGAAGGAATTGTGTGTGGAGATGAGGCCTCGAAGATAGTCGGTCAAAATCAAGAATAACGATGATTAAACTATCTACATGAATTGGAGTACGAGTACGAGTAAAGCCAAATCGTTTTTGGATGCGTTCAACTGACTTGACCAGGGTGCGGGAAGAAGCTTGAAACCTTGTTTTTTTTATCGTCGGTTCATCCTTCTTTATTATACTTCACATAAGTGAATACAGTTAGAGGGATAATCCCCATAATCTAACGACATACTGTATATGGGCAGATGAAGGGAACAAATGCAGTAGAACCGGCTGGTAGATTTCACTTTTGAAGTTCTGAATGTTATAAGTTGGAGGGAAAATTTGAAGGGGGAAAGTGTTCCCTGGTTGTGCTGTTCCTGGACGTAAGATTGCTGACAGTTAAAGGTGCGACAGCCGGCGATTCAGTTTCAGTCTATACAACCGTTAACCATGCACTTTCTCTCGGCGGTTTGGGTTGCTATGTTGGGCAGCCAAAAGACAGGAACACCTGGGGATAGTCATTTGGGTTGGGTGACGAACCGCTTGTATACAGAACGTGCGAGGAACAAGAAGTAGAACACGGGTGACCGAGAAACAGTTGCCCTATGATCATGGGCGGTGATACTTTCGGCTATGGTCAATCAAACGTTGACACCATGTCTTAGTCGTTATTTTCAGAATGCGACATCAAAATACACTGTTGACAGGATGGGAGTTCGATGTTATTCCGAGTAGTTCCGCAAATAAACAGATTCAAGCTGCGCCAGATTTGCAATAAAATTAACCGATCGTTGGCATGACATTAGGAACCAATAATGGGCCTCTGCCACTCATCCGTATCTCTGATTGTGGGAGAAATATGACAGTGCACGCATGACGGATCGCTTTTGTGATATACTAATCCCCACACATTTCACACCGTTGAGTCTGTGAAAGCACAAGCTTCTCTGATCAAAAGGATAGTACACTTAGTAGTACACCACTGGTATATCAGTGGATTGGCAGTCCGGATAGTTCTGTGATAAACCGGTAACAATGATTGATAATTAACCCAGTATTATTTTCACATAAAATCAATATACAAACACTGTGCTTGATCATCACCGTCCTCGTAACTCTCCCCATCCCCGATTGAACGAATAGAGGTAGTGCGATTTCTGGTAAAAATGAAATATATAAACGCACATTTTTCTGCCAAAGAGTGCCATTAAAAGACAAAACAAACTTGTGACATTCTGTGAAGTAATAGTACAAAGAACCCCGATCAAACAGAATCTTGGGCAAACAACGTTTCTTTGTAGATTGAACATGAGTCAGCGAAAAGTCCGGATTCATAATGATAAACGTTTTTCTCCACTGTCTTTCTTCTCTTCGAATGTCTAAAACAACTGTTATCCTCACTGATACTTATGTACTGAATCAAATTCCAATCTCCGGTTGAACCCAACTAGCCTAAAAGTGTTGTCCGGACTAATGGAGTTTGAACTGTGACAGCGCTAATTAATTCAAGATCACGTTCCCGTCGGTCATTTCATTTTTTTTCGATCTGTAAGGAAACAAGCACACTTCACACCTTTCCCATGATCCAGCCCACTGGCATTCACACAACACGACATCTCACTTACAAATAATAGATTAGCTGAGGAATACAGAAACGTGGTATCGGGGCTATGAGACTCATGTTTTTTTGATCCCATCGCACGAGCTCGCCGGTCGCATCGATCATCTGTGCACAGTTGTTTTCATGTGATGATCACTTAGCCTGATTTCAAAAAAGAAACTGAAAAGACGGTATCAAAAACAGTGCACGAATCAAATCTGCTCGATTCGATAGGAAGGGGAGGGAGGGAGGGGGCCGCGGGGAGAAACAGATGGCTGGTACACGTGTTCAAGTTGATCGCCTTCATCTCACCGAACATTTGTTTCCTATGGTCTGTTGTATAAGCTCAAATCCAGGGGTAAGTTAATCAATAGATTATTGATAGTTTACTTTGTTCCTTCAGGCAGAACTGAGTTATTTGTATTCTCGCATAACAATTGGTTCCACAACGGTTTAGAGTTGCACATCAACACAAGGCCTCAGAATGTGTACTTAAAAAAAATTTAACAACCTCCTGATTTAGTCAACCACAAATGTTTGGCATAGTGACCTTGACTGGCAGAAGTACGGGTGACAAGAAAGGGAACCGCAAAAGAAAGCTTATTGAATGAGGAAAAATGAAACGGGAATGATTAGGATAATTCCCAATGCCGTCTTGTGAGGGGTAAATTAGAGGAAAATTTAAACGACCCTATGAGCTTTCACTGTGAATGATGATTTGCGAAAAGCAGTTTGTCACTATAAACTTTCTTGGAGAGTAGCAGACAGTGTACCGTATAGAGAAGCTTGTGTAGCGATGAAACTTATATTTCAAAGACAACAAAATAGTTTACTCATCGTTATACGGGAACCAAAAAGAGACAGTTCTTTAGGCGTGAATAAATGGTACAGTTTAATGAAGCTCTGCACATTAACAGATCCTTGTTTCCTTGTTCATGCAAATGAGACACGGCGCTTGCAAATACGTGTATTGGTTAATTGTGGTCGAACTGGTGAGCAGAAGGATTATGAGAAATCGTGATGAAGAGGATTAGTGAGAACTCACAGAATTTTCAAAGCAAGCATTTCACACTCATAAATTTGTCCATCACACCTTCTTAATTTCGAATAATTCTTTCTCTAATAATGCTGTAAAAGTAACAGGGGTTGCGGAGGGGATAAAAAATTGAATCGAGAAACAAAACAGACCTTTAATTAAAGGTGACTCGGAGCTGTCTATGTATTAAAATCTTAAGGGCATGTCGCCGTCATTGGTGGTAACGGTTTATAATACGAAAGATCCTATGAAGATTGGTACTCAAAAATTATTTCCAAGGGCTTGATGAAATCCGCTCTGTGTAACCAAAAGATGTGAAGGGCAGATGAATCATTCACAAAAACGGAACAAAACAGAGTAAAAAATGCATTCACGATGCTTAGAGAGGTTGAAGGTGATGCCAATATATTAAAAAAAAATACTCTGGATTTTCGTCAGTAGTGGAAATGTAACGGGAATTCTAATCGATTATTACGGTACGATGTTTGGTATGCTCCATAATGTACTGGGCCTTCTGCGTGCGTAGAATTTTGACGCGCTCCGGCTACTCACATCCACCAATTACGATTTCACGTATGCATTGTCTTTACCGCCTCGAGTACATGTGATTCTACAATACATATGCTTGCAGCTGTTTATTTCAAGCCATCGTACTTTGTTTAACATGAGTGTCTGGAGTGAATTCTGTTATGTGCGTTGAGTAGGCGGTGCGGATAGTGCGATTATTTGATTTCAAGCTATGGAACTTACTGCAGAGTTACTTCTAACGCCTGCTTAATTGCAGTCTTATCGTATTTAGATGGCAGTTAAAATAGATACTACACATTGAAGAACATCAAAGCATTTGTAAAATGCTTTTGCTATATCAATCATTGTTTTCGGTCAATCGCACGAACTCGTTCTATCTGCCCCTGAAAAACAAGGATAGACCGGATAGAAGTTGCTGTTTATGCATTCCCCACCACTTCTTATTGACTAACCAACCACCTGATGCGGTTTTCCTTTTCTATTAATAATACTCCTTCATATAAGTTGCAATTTTGAAAGCACAGCGATGTCGGTACAGTTGAAAATAAGCCGACGTTTCGGTTACCGTTAACAAGGCGATTTTACAATCGAATGAGTCAGGAACCGTTCGCCAATTAAACTCACGCACTGTGTGTGTATGTGTCTGTGTGTGTGCGTGTGCGTTTGTATGTAGGTATGTGTCCGTGTCTGTGTGAACATCACCGATCCGGATCGGGCATTGGGCACACCGTTTGTGTAATGTTTGTCTGTTGGATCGGGGCTATCTGAGGTCAAATCAGCGTCAGGACGAGTGCTGGCAAGTGAAGTTAACGCTTCGGCTTATGCTTTATCTATGAAGCGTACTGCAGATCATCATTAATTCATTGCTGCATCCTAGCCTATTATTCGTTGAATTTTCTCACCAAGTTCGGTTTGGCACGCTGCTCCATCTGTTTGGGCTTCTTGTGTTGAATTACGGGCACGTAACAAGTTTCTCTCTCAAGTAAGACGATTATCTCAACATCGGCAGCACTGCAAAAAGCATAAACACCTTCAAATCAGATAAACGAGATGATGTGAACGAGAACAACGAAGTAGTTATTCTTCAATCAGGCCGCCCATTACATGACCGGCAGATGCGATCGTATTCTTGTACTTGCAGATCGCACCTGTTGATCGAGAAGGGTGTGTGCTTTCGCTCACACCGGAACAGGATTTTGGCTAATGGGTTCGAAATATGGTTGTGACTGATGCGAACTCGAACTGTAGGCGCCCCTACACCCTTTCACAAGAGGTATTCTTCAGATCATTCAAAATTAAATGATGTGATTACCGATAACACATGTAATCACGTAACCGAAGTTGCATTTCAAAAAGCAGCATGTTGATGGCAGACCACATTTGAATGCAGTGACATAAAAGATAGTTTTTGAAATATTACAATTTGAGGAAGAATAATAGAATTCGCAAGTTGCTCGGTATTTATCAACTGCCCCAAAGCGTCACAAAGTGTCTGGAATACGAATTGTGACAGAAATGTTTTCTGTTTTCAGTAAAGTGTTTTACCTTTTCTCATGCTCAAATCAAATCAAATCAAAATCTCAAATCATTCTTTATTGTTGCTCTGATGAAACAAACTTAACAAAATCACCAAACTAGGGACAAATGAACTGCCGTAATGAAGTTGTTTGAGGTTAACTGGATCTGGAGAAAATTTATCCAAAATCGAGATGAGAGTATTCATGATTTAGTCGAGACGAACGACTATACCGTTTATAACAAACCAATTACATACAAGTATACTCATGCCCATGGTCCCAACGTTAAGTCTATTCTCTATAGCACAACTTCAGCGAAGTAGGCACTTCACCGGTAAATGCATGTATGAGCTTGACAAATGTCTCGTGTTTAAATGAGTGGACTTTCTCATTTTGTGTTTTGCTTTCAGAACCGGTGGCTGTGCTAAGTGCACCAACGGGGACAGTTGCTCTGGACGAGAAAGTCACACTCATCTGTGAGGTTCGTGGCTACCCACGTGCTGACGTGACCTGGCATATGGTCAAACCGGGAGATGCAAAGAGCCGCCGCATGCCCGGTAAGATTCGACAACTGTTTTTCTTCCGTTCTTTGTCAGGACACCTCATTTGAGTGATCGAAGAATTGGATTCGATGAATCATTTATGCGCTCTCTGTACTGACTGACAAGATAAAATTTAGATGAAACGGTTCTAAAACTGCTTTTTATACTCCTGATAATTGACAATCGAACATTAATTTCAATCGTTTTTGTATTATGACCTGTTCTTTAGTTATGAATTCGCGCCAAATCAATGTCGTTTACGTTTAAAACACCGCGATCAAAAATTGAGTGATCTGAGCAATGCGATTTAGTTTAAAACGTTGGAAGACTTCTTCCGTTTTCTTTTTCAATAGCAACAAATCCGTATTCGCCTAAAAATTGGTAATGCGACGTGAATCACAACTGTACGACAACTGTGTGCTCTCTAGCACAAAAACCGCACTGTTAGTGTCTATTAATTACCTGGACAAGGGGAGTATTGACTAAGTTCGAATCTTTGCTCTGCTCCCTCATTTTTGCATGTAGAAATGCCCCGGTCTGACAGCGGAAAAAGTCATATAGCTAAACTTTCGCACCATCGCAATCCTCTTGCCTTGATTGTGTTCACTGTACACATCAAGTACACAAGTGACAGGTTACGGCTCTGAAACACCTACTTTCGAAATGAACCCAATGACCATCATCTGCTTTCAGCCACCCCCACATCCAGGCAAATTCTATTCACCTGAAAACATTCAGCCCCAATCGTTTTGCCCACGAATAAAATCGGATCGAAATGTTAGGGCCAAAAACTCAACACGCTGTCTTTCCTCTTTGCTTGCTGCCTACGTCCAAACGCATCTGGCTCATTGCCCAACTTTAGATTGATTAAGCAAACTATCCCTTTGGATGGAAACACAAAATCCATGCATTGGGGCATTTGAATCGCACTAGCAACTCTGTGCACATTCATGATTTACTGCTTGAAACCTATTGAGAGATTCACTCTCCGGAACGGTATTGAACTTCCATAAACTGTCACGTTCTACCGATCATCAGCTTTGGTCTAACCATATAAATACACATTCTTGGGCAAATGAGCATCTAGCACAAATCAACTGGTAGATGTACTTTGTTTGCTTCAATGGAATCAATTGGGGAACAATTTTTGACTTGCCGGGGCCAGAACCTAGTACTGTAAGAAAGGTATTGAATTATTTTTCTTTCGTACGTCAACGTGTGCATACGTACACACTTTTCTTCTTAACAACTGGCTTTGTCCTGTCGAGCTGAACGCATTTGTGCTTCGGAGAGGAATGTTTCAACGTTTCAACAGCTTTTTTTTGATAGGCTTCACCACATAGTATTATCACTTCGATCCCCACCCCACATCACTCCAATGACCCGAAATAGGTCACCGAACAGGTGTTTTGTTGCTTGCTTATTTCCCTGTACAAACAGCACCTGTTACGTGTGTAGAAACCTAGAAAATGAACAGTTCCGGACCGGGTAGTGTGGCTAAAGTAAGGAAAAATGTGGTGCTGAACAAGCAATATCTGCCAAAGAGGAGCTTCAGATTTGCTCTTCAATAGCTGTTGACCTGCTTCACATGAATCCAAACAAACAATATTGTGGATGATTTTCCGAATGCAGTCAGTTACAACTATGCAGCTTTTTGTGTTCGATATGCAATCCATCTTTATCCGTTTACCAGTACTGACAATCAATCAATAAAATACGCACGTGATCGATTATGTAGTGGTCGTAAATCGAGGAATGCGAACAGACAAAGAAAAAGGTAAACGTGCCCCGCGGTTCAATTTTGTTTTCTTTTCTAGTTCGAGGTGTAAATACCGGTCACATGCAGGGTCGTGTTTGGCAGAATTATATTTTCTTCACCATGTGCAACTACAAGAGATTTTACTCCACTCACAGAAAGACGTCGAAAAGAGGAAGATCGAACAGAAGCACAAAATCAATTGAACGTTTGGTTGAACTAATTCGACCCAGGTCGAATCGATTTCCGGGACATTCGAACCTCGAAATGGGAATGTTTTAGATGAAATAGCGAATAACTAGGGCGTGGACTGAACACATTGGAGTTGTTTATCTCAGTCGGTACTTGTCATTTATCAACAGTTGCACTACTTATGGATACACTGAAAGCATAATTGATAACACGGAGATTGGATATAAAAAGCTTATAGTATATTTACCATTTAGGTTCTGTGATATTGTTTGAGTAATTTAAGAAACTATTTACCAGTATATCCATATTAATGTAAAAGGCCAACTGTGACAAATTTTAATCCTTTCGGTATTTGATATTCTACACGTTGTCACATAATTCTTGTTGTTCTTCTTCCGCCCTCTCCCCACACAGGCAAATCGGCCGATGTGACCGTATCCGTGCGTGGCGGAGAATCAGAGACACAAGTTGTGTCCTATTTGCAAATCACCAATTTCACCCTGGATCACGAGGGTGAATATCATTGCTTGGCAGAGAACGAATTGGGCATGGACGACAAGGCAGCACATGTGGTTCTCAAGGTCTAATTGGATCAGCTTAGCAGTAACTGAGATATATATATGTGGTATATCCCCAATCCTCCTATTCTTTTTTTGTTCTTCACTTTTCTCGTCTCTTCCCTTAAACGCCCCTTATGCGGGCAACTGACGACTATGGATTTTTTTAAAACAAAACAAAATCAACAAGAAATTCAGATATGCATACTTTTTCCCGTCCACTCCATACATTCATCTGCCTCTCTCTCTCGATCTTTTGTTGTCAATTTATTGTTTGTTTGCAATAACGCTATTCACTGTGTTCGGCTCATCATAGATTAGTCACGAAACTCTTTTGAGCACTGTCCTCATCGCCTAGCCTTTGATGGGCTCACTTATGTGCGTGCGTGCGCGCCGGGGCTAAGCCCTGAACACTTTGTCATAAACGATCTCAATGATTTGTCTCAACCTGTTCTGTTCGAGTTTCTTTCAGTTCTTCTTCACTCTTATAATAATTTGTTCTACCGTTTCCCTTTTGGCATAAATACTTAAGTGTTATATTCCATTACTAATAGAGTAATTATTTATGATTCCCTGTCAGTTGAAACTGATGACAGATAGTCTTTATTCTCACCCGGTGTCGAAAACAAGCACAGAGGGACAGATCATATTTCAGTTATTATTTGACTGGACGTTATTGATAGTCCAGTCTGGATTCTACGATACTCACTCTCGTCTGTCATTGAATACCCTAGCACGAATATCGTGGCTGCTTAACGAGGAGCTAGGCACATAGTAAGATAAGAATTATCTAACCCAACATTTCAATCAAACTGTGATTTCGTTTCAAACAAGGTCGATCCGTTCACAATTCGGGCTTTTGCCTCTAAGAGTTATTTGCATCACAGATAAATGCACCGATTAAAAGCAACGTGAAAATACCATCGTATAAGTTGCGTTGAGAGTGCTCGGGTTCATAATGAATGCTTAGAACTTTTGATCGACTGGGCCTAGACAGAGCGCCTCGGGTTTCAGAAATAAAGCTGTGTCTTATGAGTTGAATTTCTACTCCCCTTCTGAATAAAAGTTTCATCGTTTGATGGGAAGATCTAGATAAGCTTCAAATTGTTAATGATCGTAAGATATTGGACATTGATCAACAGAGTTTTAATTCCTCCCATGCAGCAATCAGTAGGGTTGTGAATGTTTCCAACTGATTCCTCGGGAGGCTCGTGCTGGGATGAGCGACGCGTGATGCCCGCAACAAGTTCGCAAAGATGGATTGTGTTATATCGTGAGGAAAATGAGAAACGGTCTGATCAGCAGTCCGGCGTTTGAGTGGGTAGCATGCTTGCTTACTATCTTTAAGGTCCTGGGCTCGGGTCCCNAGTTGGGTCGATGGATTCGAACTGCCGACGACACCCAACCAGGCCAAAACATCTATCCAGTGCTTCCTAGTTTTCCAGCTCATGCCTGATTTACAGGATAAATTCATTGTATAAAGAGCATTAATTGACATCTCACTCATAATTACTTGTGATTAGCTGTGTGGGACGCCTGTTATTAATTGTGGCTAGATATTCTTTATACCTCATATTTAGGCACATTACACGGTTCATTCAGTCAACCGCAAGTGAAGGGAAGTATTACACGCAAACCTTGCCCCCACCAGGGTTACATCTAACATACAGTTAACTCAAATTGTAAGTGCCCACTGGGTGTATACGACCAGTTAAGATCGGCCAGGCTAGATCTGATTCGAATTAAACTCCCACAAGCTTTTAGGTAAATCAATCAATTATTAGAGGAAAATCACGTTATTGCGCTCTATGAACGGTCAGTAACAGTCATGGACCTGGTGTTTATCTGAGAGAATTTGGTTCATGAATAAAAAAGGGAACAGATGGGTTTTGATAAACAAATATACCATCCAGTCCTGACGTGGACAGGAGAAAAAAATGAAAAATGGCCCATGTGAACTTCGGTCAGAAATGGACTCATTTGTCGAGAAAGTGAGTAAAACTTTCACGAAGCTGATTTGCCTGCAAAATCAGGCACAACATATTTGTGGAACGAAGGGCCATTAGAACGGATTAGGGCCGATCAAAAATTGAACTGCCCGATTCATGAACCGCTTTTTTTCAGGCTATGATGGATTGTGCCGAGGAAATCATTAGTTTAAATGGTCACACAAGCAATGTTAGAGCCTATGTAATCATTATTGCGAACAGAACAAGGATGTGGGTTGCGAATGCCGAAACTGACAGTCTTTTAACATCATCGTAAGCGATAATTATTCAACATTTATTATTTAGGAAGTCCCTCAAACAGTGCTCAGCCGAGAAAGTATACCTAGCAAAATACAGTTGGTATCACTGGATAATGTCAGGAATTTCAGCTCACACCTTGGACCTCGTGAGGATAATAGACACAACAACCAATTCTAAGAGAAACAACGCCTACGTTATTCTTTCAGTTCAAATCTGGCCTTGTCCACAAGATTTGTGGATTCTTCACCTCCACACCCAGATAAATTTATGCGATGCTATGCACCTTGTATCAAATACAATTATGCAGTCGATTTTCATGAAGGATTAGGGCTACTCTTGTTCAGGTACGGCTTGAGGACAGAATAAGTCGGGTGGCATGACTGAGACTCGAACTCACGACCTCTGGACCGATGTGAGGTTACCCAAACTTTTCGCTACTTTCAGCTTTCAATCTCTCGATTGAATCTACATAATAATACAAAAAAGAAACTTCGGGAAAGGGAACCAATCAGTCAAAGGGCTATTATAATCAGAAAAACCGGAACGCTGGGAAGGGTGGAGGTAAGTTGTTGCATACGCACTTGCGGTTTGTTTGCGCACTTTCTGCCAACATGCGCATCGATAATTTGTTCGTTCGTTATCGATTGACATCTATCCCGATCAACGCATTTGTCCACGCCAACACTACCGGCCGACATGGGTCTGATTCTGATTGGCTGTTAGTTCTATCGCCACCTTGCTTAACATATGCTTGACACGACTGATTGTGAATGAGTCATAATAAATCTATCCTACCTATCCCTGTTGTTCTACTTTGCTAGCCGGCTACGGGTCCCAGACTACACTGTGTGAAATCCAAAGGTAACATTAATTGGTGGCCTTATCCGCTAAGGCACAATCACCCAGTGGTTATGTATATTATACAATCACGAACAGTAGAAATCTTGCCCTATTATTTCATAAATTTTAACCTATATTTAGATGGTGAATGTTTGGATTAGCCTATTCGGTTTTTCACAGGCACCAGGCACTGTTGATGAAGGTGATAACCTTCGAACGTGTGGCCCAAGGGTAAGGGTTCGAAGTCCCAGCCCGACGAATCGCGGTTCGATTCCTGACAGGGACACAAACAGTACGCACTGCTGACGAGTCCCAAACAGGACGAAACAGCTGTCCAGTGCACTTTGCTGGTTATCACAAACATTTCCATCGCACTAAAATTTAACATATATTGACTTGAAGTGTTTAAGAGTCATACTCATGAGATGTAAGGTAACTGTCATGATTTAGAACTCTGTCGATTCCACTCGATTTGTTCGTAGGCCTTTTCTCTTCTTACTGACTCAGTTTTGAAACCTAGATAGTCTGTTCCAGTGACAGAATACCAGGTACTCGTAACTGTTGGATTTACTCGCCCACCCTCCGATTTCACAGTGCATTGTATAATAATGTGCAATGAAGCGACTCTCCAGCTTTTCAATTTTGGAGAAGTTTGTCAAAGTCCTTGGCTCATCAGATAACTATCAACAGGAAACAACTATGCAGCCTATCTATCACTAAGATGTCCCCAGATTGAAATTGCATTGATTGATCACAATTCACATTAATGTTATAGATAATTACCCTCTCTTGCGAGAGAAAGAGAAAAATGGAGATCGTGCGGAATGAAGGCTCAGTCAATGTGTGGAACGTTTTTTTTACAAATAAGGAAAGGGTGAAAATATTCCCTGGATAGTGGTGCGTTTAGGGGAAGGGTAATCGATTACTACGACTGAACAGTTCATATCCGCTTTACACTTGGTCTGCTCAGAGGATACAATGGGGTACATTGTCAGTCCAATGATCTATATCAATCACCGCCCTTATGAAATCGTATCTGCTGTGATATTGAGTCAAAGTTTGAATTGAAATTTGAATGGAAAGGTTTGACTGAAATATTCAAATTGATAATGACTGGACGAGCGTGAGTATCACAAAGGACTTGAAGGGAGCTATTGCGGGTAGATGTGTTTACTTAAAGTGAATCAAAGTCTAATCCTTAATAAAACGGTATTTAAAGCTGTATGATTTCGTAAGTCTAAAAGAACACTATAATACAATGATGTCTTAGCCATGGTTTCTAGGCAACAGTCCTACAACTAGATGCATCCACTTCGGTTTTGTAGTTTTTGTACTCTGCTAAGAATTCCGTATCACAGTCAATTTCTGTCAAACAAAATCCACTACTGGGATGGAAATATTTGTGATGATCGACAAGACTGAAGACTATCAAGAGTGCCTGGTGCCTGTGAACATTCACATGGGCTAATCCAAACCTAATACTCTAAAATCCACTATGCTTGAGATTATTGATTAGATGGGCTCTGTATTATAATGTGTTGATAGGCACTAGGAGCCCTAATTTAAATCTGGATATCCCTTATGATTAGGCTTGAATTATCTTGAAATCATCGAGTATGCACAGCTGATCATTTATAATAATACTGAATGAATTAGATGTTTAATGCCTTCGAACTGTTTTGATAGTGCTTGAAAACTTGAAGTTGAATAGATGATTCGGTAGAATCAATAAACCTGATCGATTCTTGTGAAAACGGTTCTCTCAGAAGACAATGCCCGGGTATGGACGAACCCAAATCAAACTTATGCCAGTCAAATGGGATCAATGAAATCCATTCATTCTTACTTCTCTACTTTTACACTTACACGACTGTCTCTCGCTCAAGCATGAATCCACGGTTCCATGGTTATCGTGGATCATAGACACTCGTGATCAGTAAC